CCCCCCCCCCCCCCTCAATCGTAGAAAAAATTGCTACTAATTTCCAAGAGGGTAAGGGTCAAAATTTCAGACTTTTATGGAAATTTCCCTGTTTTTATGCTGAATTTTCTAAAAAATAATCATCAAAAACCCAAGTTGTCACACACATACCTACAGACATGACCCTAAAAACATGAAGCTGAAACTATCAGAATATTCATCAGCGGAAAATTCATTTTAAGGGATATTCAAGTGTAAGAGAGTCAAATAATCATATGTACAAATGTTTTTTCAATGCGGAAGAACCTAATGTACTTTGTACATTACTTAAAAACATTTGTACACTCCTAGATTCTCCTAAAACAAATCTTCAGCTGTCGAATTTTTCGCTAGTTTCAGCTTCACCCTAGAAACATAATTTCTTCACGTTTCATAACATTCCAGATCATTCGCCATTAAAATTAGAAAATCGAAAAATCGCTCAAATACAAGGCTTCCATTCGGAGGCAAAAAACCCCTAAAAAACTCGTATCCTACCTCTGGGTCAGTGAGCTGCTGTCGAGCCTCTCTCTCACTATCACTGGAAACCGTCTCTTTCTCCTCGACCTCGTTCTCCCTCTCCTTCTCACTCTCCCCAATCTCCACAGCCTCAGGACCCTTCTGAATCTCAGAATCCCCAGTCCCCAGTAGTTGCTCGTCCTCACACCTCTCAGCCACCTCAATCCCCTGATTTTTCACCTTATCCGAATCGACCCTGTAGTAATTCCACTCGTCGTCAGAGTCCTCACTGTCACCTACATTCTCCGGATCGTGTACATTTTTCTTGGAGCCTGTTGGTAAATTACATTAATAAATAACGAGATTAAATAACTCCCCTGATAAAAACCCTCTATTATAAATCACACCATAGAAAGGTAAACGCGTGGGACTTCTTCGAGGCAACGAGAGTGCAAAAAAAAAAAAAAGAATATACAAATTCAGTGGTAAACCCCACGCAGTGGACTAGACCAGTTGAGTTGGCCAGGCTATGCCCACACGTTTGTGTCCTCCCCCTGAGACAACGAGATGAATGCGTTGCATTTGGGATGCACTTGGGACATTTGCCAAGGAGGTAGCCGACACTAGACGGCTAGGTATCGACGGATACGCGCATGAGCGACGGTGTTACCATGAGGAATGGGCGTTGCAAGCCACCGTCATGCAGGATGCATTCCTCCTGCTGACGAGGCTGTCGTGGAGAATTTTTTTCCGCTTTTTTTTCGGTATTTGGAGGGTAGAATAAAAGAGAACAGAACGATAAAGTTGAGCGCATTTTGGATTAAGGATATCCAAGTACTTTGACTATTCTTTCTCCAGTGAAATGCTTTTCTACTTGTAGTCTAGCATCAGAGCTCTCATTTGAGCCCCATTTCATCCCAGATTTCGGAACATTTTAGAATGATGTGATTAAATAAACTTTGCAGGTCTGAGGTTGAATCTCGATATTGAGCCGTTGGAAAAAATTTTTTTTAATGTACAAAATTTAGAAATTAGAGTTTAGTTTTGAAGAAATAATGAAAAAATTACTATTTTTGAAAACTACGAACATTTTCTATAATTTATAAACAATTTTCCAGAAATCGTAACACATTTATTCATATTCAGAATTTTACCAGAAATTGATTTTATGCTTAAAAAAATTAATTTGAAGAATTTCAAATATTTATTTATAAACAACGAATATTTAAAAAATTAATAACTCTGCGTAAAATGTAGTTTGATTAACGCTGAATATTCATTATTTTTTTCAAAATTTTCTCACGCAATTTAATTGACAAATTTGATGATTGAAAATGGTTAATTTACAGTGTGGTCTGTACCAAACTGTGAAAGATACTTGAATATCCTTGAGGGTCAAATGGTCGTAAACGTCATTTGACCCTCAATTCCAAACGTCCTTGAGCGTCGCTTGACCCTCAACACTATTTAAATTCAACTTGACCTCTAAACTATTTTATTTGATCTCAAAATTATTGAACCCTTTTGTGTTTTGACCATTGGACCTTCAATTACAAACGTCCTCGAGGGTATTTGGTAGTATTATTGCAGGGGACGTGAGTAAATGTTACAGAATGGCTGTCCCATTCTGTATAGAATAATAAAGTTGATTTTGTTTGTTTTATTGAATTGCTTCAATAGTTTGGATAGTTCCAGAGAAATATATATTTTTTGTGGGGAATTTCATCCGCTAGAGGAGGGATCGCTCGACATTTTTTAGTTCAACGAGTTAGTTACGAGTTATTGACCCTCAAAACCATGGAACCCATGATCGCTCTTAAAGGACGTTTGACTTTCATCAAGACCATCCGGTCCTTGACCCTGAAAACCATTTGACCCTCAACTCTAAACGTCCTTAAGGATCGTTTGACCCTCAAATCTATTTAACCCTTAATCCTAAACGTTCGTAAGGGTTGTTTGCCCTTAAGACCATTTGACCTTTAATCCCAAACACTCTCAGGAGTTGTTTGACATTCAACTCGAAACGTCCTCAAGGGTCGTTCAACCCTCGAAACAATCTGACCCTCAAATGACCCCCAAACGTCCTCAAAGGTCGTTTAACCTTCAATTCTCAATTCTAAACATTCTCAAAACAAAAAAAAAAGTTTTCTCAATTCCGAGAGAAATCAACAACTACGGAAAAAAAATCGTTTCCTTCAATTGCGTTTCATCATTTCGCCTTTGATTCTCTCCCCCGGGCTTCCACCCATTTTCATTTAAATGTTGAAATATGTAAATTTGGTGACACACGAAGTGACTTCCGTTTATAAAATCCAGGAATAGACGATTCTTGTTTTTATTTTAAAATAACATGGCAACTGAATTCCACTCCTCATTTATTTCTATATGTGGTATATCTCTTTTGATTTTTATTTTGCTTCAAGTACGATGGCCTCTTGTCAGTGTCACACGCTGTTCTCTCTCGGTTCACACTCACGTCGGGCTTTTTTTTCTGCCGAACCCAAAGTTAATTTTACACTCACTGCTTGAGTATAGCACCCCCCCCCCCTTTCTCGCTANCAATTCCGAGAGAAATCAACAACTACGGAAAAAAAATCGTTTCCTTCAATTGCGTTTCATCATTTCGCCTTTGATTCTCTCCCCCGGGCTTCCACCCATTTTCATTTAAATGTTGAAATATGTAAATTTGGTGACACACGAAGTGACTTCCGTTTATAAAATCCAGGAATAGACGATTCTTGTTTTTATTTTAAAATAACATGGCAACTGAATTCCACTCCTCATTTATTTCTATATGTGGTATATCTCTTTTGATTTTTATTTTGCTTCAAGTACGATGGCCTCTTGTCAGTGTCACACGCTGTTCTCTCTCGGTTCACACTCACGTCGGGCTTTTTTTTCTGCCGAACCCAAAGTTAATTTTACACTCACTGCTTGAGTATAGCCCCCCCCCCCCTTTCTCGCTAGCCCACTCTCTCTACGACTGCTAATCCCAGTGCAGTTATCTTTGTGACTAAGTATTACTGAAGGAGAGTCAATGTTGAATTTATCTAATCTATTGGATTTTCGTTGATAAAGATTCAACAATTGCGGAAAAGTCGCGAAACGAATGAATAAGAAGGAATTGTATGATTGTTGTTGACATGCATTTATAACGGAGCAACATGTCAAAAGATGTTTTTTTTAGTTGAGAGTCAAGTGACCATTTTGGACCCTTAAACCTTTACTTCGTCTCACAGTACCCCACTTTTCGTCGTTTTGTAGTGGTGTGCGTGCGCCGACGTGCTTCTCTTATGACGCACTAACACTCGGACGGACCCCCCACTCCTCCCACACCGAGACGCGAAGCAATGGGTTAAAACCATTTGACCCTCAACTCCAAACGTTAAGAATCGTTTGACTCAAAGGCCATGTGATCTTTAACCCTGAATGGTCTGACGGATTGTTTGACTCAAAACAATTTAGCCCTTGACTCCAAACGTATTTAAGGGTTGTTTGGCCTGTAAAATCACTTGACCGTCAACTCCAAATGTCCTTACGGCTCGTTTAACCCTCAAAACTATTTAAACCTTCATACTGAACGTTCTTGTGAACGTTGAGCGGTTGTTTGACCCTTAAACTCATTTAACCCTTAACCCCAAACATCTTTAAGGGTCATTTGACCCTCAACTCCAAAATTCTTGAGGGTCGTTTGATCATCGAGACCATTTGACCCTCAACTCCAAACGTTGAGGATCGTTTGACTCAAAGACCATGTGACCCTTAATCCTGAACGTTCTGATGGATTGTTTCACTCAAGACAACTTAACCCTTGACTCCAAACAAATTTAAGGGTCGTTTGACCTGCAAAATCACTTGACCCTCAACTCCAAACGTCCTTAAAGCTCGTTTAACCCTGAAAACTATTTAAACCTTCATGCTGAACGTTCTCGTGAATGTTGAGGGGTTGTTTGACCCTTAAACTCATTTAATCCTTAACTCCAAACATCTGTAAGGGTCATTTGACCTTCAAAATCATTTAACCCTCAACTCCACAGTTCTTGAGGGTCGTTTGGCTCTCAAGACTATTTTACCTTTAACCCTAAACTTTCTTTGAAATTTTACTCTCAACTCTGAACGTTCTTAAGGGTGGTTTAACCCTCGAACTTCTGTGACCTTGATGGTCGTTTGACCCTCAAAACCATTTGATACTTAATTCTAAACGTTCTTAATCCTAAACACCAGGTGAAATTCAACGTAAAATCGACAATTATCGTGCAATTATCTCGATAATGGGTAGTTTTAGGAGAAAATAACTTTCGACTCTATTGCAAAGAATTAAATTTCCAACAAAAAATTAAAAAAATTTCATAATAAATTCCTCCAAACCCCTTCACTCAAAAGATATTGGCGAAATAATCTGCAAATTAACCACACCTCAGACAACGTAATGAATCACATCTGACCTCTTAATAATTATGCAAATATCTCCAGAGTGACTCATTTTAAGAAAAAACATCATCAGACCTTTTTTCCAGAGGATTAAATTTCCAACAAAAAATGTAATCTGACATTTTCCCTAAAAACCACTCCCCATCGCAATAACTCAATAAAAAAAAAGAGTGAAAATCTCAATCTCGTTCTGTTCTGCTGCATTTTCCACTTCCCGTCTAAAATTTCTATAAGAGAAATTCCACGAAAAATTTCTACGTTAAAAATAAACATAATGACGAACATCATGTAGTAGGAAGCCCCCAGATAAAAAAATATCGCTGAACAATAAAATTCCTCGCCTCCTAAATACAAACTCCATCAGCAGGAAGTGGGCGAACAGACCAAGGAGACATCGCCACGCGAAAAACTTTCAACTTCATGCATAACGCCGGCACTACCGGCGTAACCCAGGTACATTCTGGAAACCCGCCTTCACACATGTTCCAATACCGTCCGCACACTCATAAATCCCCACTATATCCCCCCCCCCAAACCCCTCAAAAAATCACCACCAAACCGTAAACAGAGGAATCCAAGAATTTTGTTAAACACGCAGTTTTCAATCGTGAATATCTCGAGATTGGCAGAGTGAAATGCAAAAAATGAAAATTTGAAGCCTGAAAAAATACCTTCAAAATGAGATGTGACTCACCGAAGTCGTACCATTGGATCCGCACTTATTAATCATCAAAATTTTTTATTCAACGCAGTTGCTGGGGAGGAAGTAAAAACGAACAGTTTTTAATTATCAATAACTCGCGATCGGCAGAGTGAAAATCAAAAATTTTTCTTTTATTTTGAATGTATTTTTTCGGGCTTTAGGATGCGACGTGGCTCACCGAAATCGTATCATTCAATCCAGAGATATCGACGATTAAAGCGTGATTGCACACTTTCTCTCGATAGCATAAAATGAAATGAAAAATCATTTTCCCTCACTCACAGTTGCATTCTCATTTGTAAACCCAAGAAATTCAAGAATATAAATCCCCAAGTACAAAAATGAAATGGAATGATATGAGTCAGATCGTGCTGGACCGGCGTACGTTTCAAAAATTCTGCGCACATCCGTTTTTTTGTCTCTTTCACTCCTTTTTATCGTCATTTCAACCATTCCCATTCGCGCATAAGCCCTGGCTAAAATATAAACTCATATCTACTGCATTTTCTCGTGAAACGTACCTCAGATGTCGGAAAAAATGGTTTCGTATTCCCCAGTAGGTGAGTATTATTATTATTAGTCGTTTGTTCCTTTTTTTTCTTGTGAGAAACAATTCGTTCCACCCGGCTTTCTCGATCAACGATTAATCCAGCCGCCTCTCCTCTCCCTCTCGATATTATTTTATCCCGTGCACACAATCCGAAATTTTATTATTTATCCCGTGGTCTCATAGAGCCCTCGGTAACGCGAGTGAGCGAGTTATTTTTGTGATATTTTTGGGAAAAAAAAAACTACACACACACACACGCCACACAAAAGACGCAACGGATTCACAAAAATCCTGGAGCACTGGGGCGGCGAGTTACGGGACCAACTGCCAGCCCTTCCTAGCGACTATCCCCCCCACTGGGTTAACATTCAGGACTCGTGTGGGGATTGGTGGAATCGGTTGACACCGGGGGCCAATGGGGAAGCAGCGGAGAGCCGCCGCCGGACTCTGACGGATTCATTTGTGCACTAAATTTGAATTTGAAATGTTTGGGATGCACATGAGGGGTGGGGGAATCGAATGTTTTTTTGTCGGAAAGGGTTTTTTGGGAGTGGATAGAGAGAGGGGGGAGAGAGAGAGAGAGAGAGAGAGAGAGAGAGAGAGAGAGAAAATATTGAGGTTTCGAGAGGATTCGGGGAGGGTTTTTAGTAATTGGGGGAACTATGTGCAGAAGGCGTGGGTTTAGGAAAAAATTGGTAATGACCTTTTTTGTAGAGAATTAAATTTCCTACAAATAAGGATTCGAGGCATTTTCTCGTGGGATGACTCGTTATGGAGTTATTTTGTGTTTAAGAGAAGGGGATAATCGAAGTGTTGAGGTCAGAATATATTTCGTTACGGGAAACTTTTTTTTAGGTGAGGGTCAAATGACCCTCAAGGAGGTTTGGAGTTGAAGGTCAAGTAGTGTCAAGGGTCTTAGGACACTTCAGCTGTGGGTCAAATGGTTGTGAGGGTCAAACCAACCTTACGGATGTCCTTAATTAAGATTCAAATGGCTTTGAAGGTCAACGGATTTGGGATAATGGAGTGGAGGATCAAATGGTTGTAAAGGTCAACCGTCCCTTCAGGGCGTTTGGAGTTGAGGGTCGAACAACCCTCGAGGATGTTTTTAATTAAGGTTTGAATGGATTCGGGGGTCAAACGACTGTTAAGGACGTTTGGAGTTGAGGGTCAACCAGGTTTGAGGGTTAAACGACCGCTAAGTACGTTTGAGATTAATAGAAAATAGCATTGAGGGTCTAACAACACTCAAGAACCTTTGTATTTGTGGGTCAAATGACCCTTAAGGACATTTTTAGTTAACCGATCCATAAGGACGTTTGAAATTGAGGGAAAATGACCTTGAAGGTCAAATGACCCGTAAGGGCGTTTGAAGTTGAGGGTCAGCTAAGTTTGAAGGTTAAACGACCGTTACGGACGTTTGAAATTGAGAGAAAATAGCCTTGAGGGTCTAAAAACCGACAAGAACCATGGGATTTGAGGGTCAAATGATCCTTAGGGACGTTTTTAGTTGAGGTTCAAGTGGTTTTAGAGACCAGACCACTCTGAAGGACGTTTGGACTTTAGGATCAAATGGTTTAGAGGGTCAAATGATCCATTAAGGGTTAAATCGTCTTGGGGGTCGAACCACCCTTACCCCTACACGTCATCAAGGGTCATTTGACCATCAACTAAAAACAAAAAATGCGTTTCCTAAAATGTATCAAGCACTCGTTTTTTTCAATCTAAAAAATATAAAATTCTCATTACTTTCTCAATCAATACCGGAACGAAATTGATTTTTCATTGCCTTTTTATTCAGAAACAGTAATTCCAATATCACTAATTATCAGCATAATTCAACATTTGAAAAAACTTGAAAAAAAAATAGTTTGTGGCGTGAGACGGGGACACGAGGTGAAAAAATTAATTAATGAAATGTAGAATATCGTGTCAGGGATTCAGTCACGATAATATAGTCATTATTAGTCAATTAGTCTAATGAAAAAATAGAAAAGATAATGAACGCACCAATGAGCAGAGGCAACAATTGTTGCAATGCTGTGGGGTCAACTGGTGGGGGTGGGGAAAATCTTGGGGCTCTTGGTCTAATTCCAGCTGGTTCGAGGCGACAATCAGTGCATCAAGTTCACTGACTGGCACGCTTGGACGCCAACCACTAGCTCCTCAACCTCACTCCTCTCAACATGGTGAAATCCATCTTGTCTCTACTTGAATAATTCTCACGGTTTTCTTTATTTTTTCTTGGGAAATTCAGTAGTCAACTGGCTAGAAGTAACTCAATATTTTTTGCAATCACAGCTCGAGAACTCGAGAATTATCTTCAAAACGTGGGGTTTAGGAAGTTTTTGGAGATGATGAAAATTTGCAATAAATTAAGTGAATGAATGAATTACGGAGATAATTAGATATTTGAGGTAATGCAAACAGCCGATCTGCTTTTTCTGTTTTTCTTCTGAAATTTCTCTATCAATTTTGAGATTATCTTAAATCCTTCATTAACAGGGTAATTACTTAGGAAAATATTTCCAATTGATTTAATTGATTTTCTCACAGTTCAACGCAAAATTTAGTTCTTTAGTTCTCTAATTATTTCTTGATATAGTCATTCTAGATGACAAAATTCTCCACAAAAAAAAACCATTGACATTTTCCCCTCAAGCCTTTCATTAACAAGATTATTCAACATTTAGAAAATAATTCCAAATTTTTTGACTACATTTTCTAAAATAATTCATTTACAAGATAGATCAACGTTTAGAAAACAATTCCTAATTGTTTGATCCCATTTTTTCACATTTCAATGCAAAATTTCGTTTTTTGATTCTCTAATTATCTCATGATCTCCTCATTCAACAGAAAAATGCAAAAAAAACATTTTGCTGCTGCCAAAATTCCCCATAAAAAATGTCTATTCACATTTTCTCCTAAAACCCCTCACAACCAAAATAATTAAACGCAAAAAAAACGCAAATCAATTGTTTCCCCTGTCCCACATATCAGTGCAAAATTGAAGATTCTGAATTCCCCAATTATCCCATAATCTACTTGTTCCATCGAAAAATGCCATAAAAAACTTTTTGTAACTGACTAAGTTCCCCACAAAAATGTCCATTGATAGTTCCCCCTCAAACAATTCTTTACCAAGGTAAATCAGCATTTAGAAAACAATTTCCAATTGTTTGATCACGAAGATTGAGTTTCTTAATTCTCTAATTATTTGGTGATCTCCTCATTCTATAGAAAAATGTCAAAAGAACATTTTGCAGCAGCTGAAATTCCCCACAAAAAATATCTTTTCACATTTTCTCTTGAAACCCCTCATAAGCGCTCAAAAAAACTGCAAATCGATGAATCCCCTTGTCCCACATTTCAGTGCAAAATTGCGTTTCTGAATTCCCCAATTATCCCATAATTTACTCGTTCCATCGAAAAATATCATAAAAAACTTTTTGTAGCTAACAAAATTCCCCAAAAAAATGTCCATTTACATTTTCCCCTCAAACAATTCCTTACCAAGGTAAATCGACATCTAGAAAACAATTCCCAATTGTTTGATCACATTTCATCACATTTCAGTGCAAGCTTGAATTTCTGAATTCTTTAATTACCTAGTGATCTCCTCATTCTACAAGAAAATGTCATAAAAAACTTTTTGTAGCTGACAAAATTCCCAAAAAAAATCCCTACTGACATTTTCCCAATTCCCAATTGTTTGATCACATTTTATCACATTTCAGTGCAAGCTTGAATTTCTGAATTCTTTAATTACCTCGTGATCTCCTCATTCTACAAGAAAATGTCATGAAAAACTTTTTGTAGCTGACAAAATTCCCCAAAAAAATCCCCACTGACATTTTCCCCTCAGACCCTTCATTAGCAAGATCATTCAACATTTAGAAAACAATTCCCAATTGTTTGATCACATTTCATCACATTTCAGTTCAAGCTTGAGTTTCTTAATTCCCTATTTATCTCGTGATCTCCTCATTCTACAGAAAAATGTCATAAAAAACTTTTTGTAGCTGTCAAAATTCCCAAAAAAAAAATCTCACTGACATTTTCCCTTCAGACCCATCCTTAACAAGATAATTCACCACTCATCAAGAATTTAAGATCAACTTCTGCTCCAAAAAATAATGATCACTCGACTGACCTGAATGTCTGACTCCCGTATCCTCCACTCCATCCCCCAGCACTTCCTCCTTAGGCGATTCATCCGGAAAGAGTTCCCTCGAGACATTGGCGAGTGTGCACACCTCTCCAGCCTCGTCCACAGCGTCGACATTGCTCTCCGGGCCAAGATCATCGTCATCATCCTCCTCGCCTTCGTCCTCCTCCTCGTCGTAGTCCACAGCCCCATTCTCATGCCTCCCATTGGAAGATTTGCTGTAGGGGAACTCATCCTCATCGAATCCCCCTCCATTATTCTGATTTCTCATTCCCTTTCCAAAAGGCGCATTGATACCAGCATTGACTTCATACTGGCCGGTTGCCGATGAGAAGTACCTGTTGTCCGGCTCCATATTATTCAACTCAACATCCGCAATCAGCGGATGATTGTGAGTAAATCGTGTTGCTATTTGATTGGGGGGCGTTAGAAACACTACTATCACTGTTATGTTGTCGGAGGAGCCCTTGTTCTTCGAGTATTCGACCAATCGTTGACTCACTGCTTGAAGATTTTCTGTAATGCCAATGAAAATTCAGTATTAGTGTTGAAGGAAAATTGAAATTGGCAACTTGTGTCAACTTTTTTTCAATTTTTTCTTCTCAATTTTTGGATATCTAATTGTGGCATCCTCTTCTTGATCTACATATATCATTTATTTTTGAAACTGGTATTCTATAAATATGTAATATTCTGTTAAATATCCAATGTGTTCTTTTGACCCTATAATTGGCCTGGGGGCTGTTGGGTCGGTATACAGTAATAAATAAATAAATAAATTTTCTAATCTCAAGTTTGGGAACGGAATAATTCATTTTTCATTCATAAACATTTGAAATATTGCGCATTAATTAATAATTAGTTGTTAAATGTTGAAGATTACAAACACTTTGAAATCGCTGATGACGTCACACGCATTCAAATGAGTCGCAATTCACAGAAAATATATTATTTGATGGCTAAATATTGAAGATTGAATAATATTATGTTGAAGATCAGAAAATACTTCAAAGAGAAACGAATAAAGATCGATTTTTCTAAAATTTATTTGAAATAAGAAGCAGTGAGAGAAAATAGTTTTTTAATTTTGAAAAAATTAAGAATATAGGTATATTTTGTTTGAATACTATTCAGTAACAGGGAAAATCCTCCTCACTATCCCCAAACGACAACATCACTCCGAAACCCTACAAACAATAATATTGATTCGTATCATTAACCAAATTCAGGCATTTACCCACAAAAATACACCACTGGTTCAATTGATTTTTCGATTTTTTGTGCTCAGACTCATTTAAAAAAATTAATGATACGAAACAATTTTATTTAAATTATCCTGTTTATTTGTCTTTTTTTCGAGGTCAATGACTTGTGATTTGTACAGGTAATTTACAAAAATCTGACGTCATTTTCGAGATATTTTTTCAAACTTTCAAATGAGACCAAATTTTTCCGAATGATATCATTTGGTCAGGAGACATTGACGTTTTAATGAAAATGATCGTTAAAATTTACAAAAAAGACAGAAAAAAAATTAAAAAAATACATACATTTCGTTTGATTTTGACATTATATTCAATAACAGGGAAAATCCTCCTCACTATCCCCAAATGACATCACCACTCAGAAACCCCACAAACACGAATATTAATTCGTATCATTGACCAAATTCAGGTATTTGCCCACAAAAATACACCACTGACTCAATTGATTTTTCCCTCCCCTTGCCAGCCATGAGTAAACGTCTGAGTCATCAAGGCAATTGTATCTCCTAGACTGATACTAGGGGGACAATTATCGGTGTGCGTTAGCGTCCGGAGAATTTTTCGTTAGTTTGCAGCAAAAAACAAGTAGATGAAAGGTGCGTGGAATGGGGAAAAAAAGGGAAGTGGAAGCGAGACCACAGACGTCTCGAGTGGTCACTGTACTGTTGTGCTCAGACTCATATTACAGGAATTATATTGAATTACGAAAGGGGTTCCTGAGTTTTCCAGAGGGGATAAATGGGAACCAGGAGCATCGACAGGGTCGATTAACACAGAAAAAAAAAGCTAGAGTAACTTCCTGTTGAAATTCGTCGGGATGTGGGCTCGATGGTATCAGGCCTGGTCGTGTGCCATCTGTCATATTAAATTTGAATTTTCGGGGGGGGGGCAAGGGCCAAACAAACAGTTGTGTAAACAGGAAATTTATGGAATCGTTGGATTTTAGGATAATACTTTGATTTTATTTCGAGGGAAAACGAAACTGTTCACTTTAATGGCGAATTTTCGTGAGAAAATCGCATAGGAGAGGTTGGGGTAAAACGGACTTTTGAGGTTTTTTAAATGTTAATGAGGGGTTGAAATGTTGATAAAATTTAATTTTTTTTTTCAATACAAAGAACAATTCTTTCCCTTTGTGACGAGCCTAAACTGAGCTCAATTGATCGATTTGTTTCTGAGCCCTCCCCTAATTAAGTCTTTTTTTAGAACAAATTTGTAGATTATGGTTTTATAGAAAAGTGGAATATTCTTGACAGATTTTTCTTGGAGATATTTCGCGAATGAATAATTTACTGTCATTTATTTTTTATAACAAATTTGGAGATAACGGGTTTATAGAAATGTTGAATATTTTTGACTGATTTTTTTGGAGGTATTTCGGGAATAAATAATTTATTATCATTTATTTTCTATAACAAATTTATAGATTATGGTTTTATAGAAAAGTGAAATATTTTTGACAGATTTTTCTTCGAGATATTTCGCGAATGAACAATCTATTATCATTTATTTTTTATAGCAAATTTATAGATTACGGTTTTATAGAAAAGTGGAATATTCTTGAAAGATTTTTTTGGGCGATATTTCTTGAATGGAGAATTGTTTAGTGCAAAAAACAGTTTTTCGAAATCTGAAGCCATTGCTCTCGAGATAAATTCACGATTTAAAAAAGTAATGGAGTTTCAGAGGAATTCTTCAAGAGATATTATTTGTTTAAGAATTTTGATAAATATTACTTTATAAAAATTTATAAAAATAATGGAGTTTCAGCAAAATTTTTCAAGAGATATTATTTCTTTAAGAATTTTTTCAATAAGAAAAATGAGTTTTTCTACATCTGAAGTCATTACTCTCGAGATAAATTCACGATTTAAAAAAGCAATGGACTTTCAGCGAAATTTCTCAAAAGATATTATTTCTTTAAGAATTTTTTCAACAAGAAAAATGAGTTTTTTTACCTCTGAAGTCGCTTCTTCTCGCGATGAATTCACAGTTTAAACAAGTATAAAATTTAATTTATTACGTTTTTCCAAAAAAATTCGGAATTATTATTTTTTTTGTAGATATTTATTGAAGAAAGAGGTTTGGAGAAATACTTCAAGACATCTTTTTTTTAAAAATATCCCTCAGCTTAAAATGAATATCTTGAATTTCCCGAAGTCACTTTTTCTTGAGACGAATTAATAATTAACAAAAATATGAAATTTGATTGATTTCACAGGAATTTCTTTCCAGAGAATTTGCTCAGCTCCAAAAAAGAAATCCCAAAGCTTCTCCAGGAAATATCTCCCAAAGAAACAGGTTCAGCGATATTTTTCAAAGAGACAATTTTATAGAGAATTTCCTGCTCTCCACAAAAGTTCTCATAACTTTTTCTCGTTGAACTATTCCTTCTTACGATAAATCCACAATAGAAAAAAAGATTTGTCTAATAAAGTTTGTCCAGAAATCGTCAAAACTAAGTATAGTTTCTCCAAAAAATATCTCCCAAAGGAAGAGGTTTAGCAAAATTTTTCTACAAAACAATTTATTAGAGAACTTTCTGCTCTACAAAAAAGTTCTTATGACTTTTTCTCGTAGAACTTCTCCTTCATACGATAAATCCACAATAACCAAGCAAAGTATCCAATATCACTCATTACGATTCTCCTAAATTTCGAAATAATTTCCAGACTATTTCGTAAATAGTCTCCCCCAAACGAAGAGGTTGAGGGATTTGTTTGAGGCATTAAATTTCACTCATCAGGTTTTCCCCGATTTGAAAATCTCTGCCAGACTCTTGGGGACATAACGGGAATTGTTTATTATAAAATGATTTTCACACTTGCCAACGCAATCTCCCCCGAAAAATAATGAAAATCCATGATTGTCACCTACCGAACCACCGGAAGAGCTCCTATAAACCAGAGATATTCGTGGGAATCCGTGTATCACCTTCAACCAAGGATTTAAAACCTTAAATCACGAATCGAGGGAAACAAGCTCTTGGGAGAGAACGTAACGGGTGTGGCGAGGTATCGCGATCAACTGCCGGGCCGGCTGGTTCCACTGAATCACCCAAAGCCGAAGTAGAGAACGTGTTATGGCTACGCCACTGCTACCGCCACCACCGCTACGTGACTCACGCTACTATACCTCATACCCATGCCAACCCACCCCCATTTCACATCCATCCGCCTCTCTCTTCTCCATTCTCACAATTCTCGGTCCCTTCCTCTCACACTTTTTCACAATTTCATGTAGGCCCGACGTGCATTACTTTATCCCACGAATTTCCGAGGTTCTATTCATGAATATGTGAATATGGGAAAAATAAATCCGGAGATCACGAGGAGTTGAGGGAAACAGACGGTTTTTGGGAGGGCAATATCTCGGGATTGGCTGAGACATTTTGGAAAAATTTGACGCTATTTTCAAGATGTTTTTTTAATCTTTGAAATGAGACGAGATTTTTTTGAATCGGATCATTTGGTCGGGAGATATTGATGATTGAATGAAAGTGATTTTGATATTGCAAAAAAGACAGAAGCAAAGTAGCAAAATAGATTGTTTTTGGAGGGCAATTTCTCGGGATTGGCAGAGGCGTTTTTAAAATCTGAAGCCATTTTCAAGATGTTTTTTTAAACTTTGAAATGAGACCAGATTTTTTGGAATTGTATCATTTGGTCGGGAGATATTGAAGATTGAATGGAAATGATTTTGAAGATTAAAAAAAAAACAGAAGCAAAATAGCAAAATAGATCGTCTTTGAAGGGCAATATCTCGAAATATTGAAGACTGAATGGAAATGATTTTGAAAATTATAAAAACGAATGAAGGAAAATTGATGTTTTGAGGTCAATGACTCGTGATTTGCACAGGCAATTTAGGAAAATCTGACGTAATTTTCCAGATATTTTTTCAAACTTTAAAATGAGACTAGATTTTTCTTAATGATATGATTTGGTCAGGAGACATTGACATTTTAATGAAAAGGATCTTTAAGATTACAAAAAAGACAGAAGAAAAATAGCAAAGTAAAACGTCTTTGGAAGGCAATATCTCGGGACTGGCAGAGACGATTTTGAAAAATCTGACGTCATTCTCCAGATATTTCTTCAAACTTTGAAATGAGACCAGACTTTTTCAAATCGTATCGTTGAGTCATAACACATTGAAGACTGAATAAAAATGGTTTTGAATACCGTTAAACCACCTGAAACAAATGGTAGTTCCATCATTTCTCGAAATTTTTTCACAAAAAAATCACCA